GAATGCCAGAGATAGCTCTGCGATTCATGTGTTATTTGGTGTTTTGGAGAAGTGGAAAGCCATTACTTCTCAGTAGTCTTCATTCAGCCTGATCTAGTTAAACACCGCCTAAAGATCAGTTTACTGGTGTTTTTACAGTGGGAACTGTTGGACACAGGGCTTAGGGACTCTCTCTTATGGGGGAAGACTTACTGAAAACAGGTCTGGTACTCTTACGAGGCCAAGTAGAACGTACTATTTCACTAGCAAAGTTTCTCTTTCCGAGCTGAGCTTACACCAGGAAATGATGTTAGTTTGATTGTAGCCTTCTCGCGTACATGCCCACATGGGTGACAGCCATTTGAAGTACCACCTTACTTTGTATGTAACTATAGACAAGGACTGAAGGGACAGACTAAACTCATTAAACAGAAGAAACGAACCTCTGAAGGCTTTAAGCAACCAACTTAATCTCTCCTTACGTACATCAGTGGGAAGAACGCCCAAAAATTATCTTGGCTACACATACAGATTCTTTCCCCTTCATCCCCAAACACACACTATTTCATTACTTCCTTTTTAAGCACTGGATTTTCTAAAATGCTGCTGAAACACAAATCAGTCCGGCTTATAGACCCAGAACCAGCGAGTTCATCGCTTCCCTCCATCCACTTCTGCAAAAGGCTACTACTTCCAGCTTTTGTTAGCGTTCCTTCCACTTGTCATTAAGCGGCATTGAGAATTGTCTCAAGGGCTCAATTATCCTTTTGATCCAAGTTCTCATAGCAATGTACCGGATCTACTTCCAATCTTACCAGCGACCATGGCTGCAGCTCCAGTATTAGCAGCAGGAGCATGAGCCCAAGGATTGGTTTCACGAACTGGCATAGCTGTGGACACTACAGCAGCTTGGGATGGTTTAGCAGCAAGCACACAGAAGGCAGAGGCAGTGCCATTAACTAAAATGGGAGCAGACAACATCAGTGCAATTAATTCATGCAAGGCATGCACGTGACTGGAATATTAGTGGGCCATGTCATACCTATCAACATACAACAACTTTAGACACTTCCACATGACAGCAGTTTGTGTAAGTTAGACAAATTGGACTGACAGTTGATAAAGCTAGTAAATTCCATTTCACCAAGCCAACGCTTGTTAACAGAACTGTGGGATGGTGGATTTTTATCTATTTGATGAGACCTTGAGTTCTGATGACCAACCGAAGTTAAATTTGTTGGTTTTATAGAGAAGAGATATGGCTCACCAGAAGTTACTGTATGATTAATTTTAGATTCAAAAGAAGGACAGATTTTAGATGCAAAGTAACAATAACTACATTTAACAAAGAGAGGTTCTTTTTTCACACAACTTTTATAAAAGCATATCAGGGAAACAAAGATTAGAGGCTGCTATGAGTTCTATAGTTGGCACCTCTCCACAACTTATCTAAGAGTTTGTGTGAAAAACAGTAATCGTGGTGGCACAAAATCTCTTCCGTTGTGGAATTTGGTTCCTGCGACACACAGTTGGTAAGGTTTTTGCAGTTCAGGAGGCAGAATGTTAGAATAGCCACTACCTCAAAGCCAGTCCCTTTTGCAGGTAACTATCGTGTGGTAGGTGCATGAACTTTTTGTTAAAAACAAAAACACAGAAAAACTAAACAGACAAGATGAATAAAGCAGGATGCATTCGCCCAAAATACTGATAACAGGACTTGCACAAGAAATTTAGACTGTGTGTTACTGGAAAGCAACATTATGTGCATTCAAGCCTCATCCAGCATGACTACAGCACGCAAAGAAATCACAAACCTTGAAAGGCAGGAGACTGTGGTGCGACTGCTGTCACTGGTTTTGTCATGGGGGCTGAAGAGAAAGGATCTTCTGATGGTGTGCTGAAAGCACTGGTGATCTGAGAGCACAGGGCACTAATGCTGTCCGTTTCCCCTTCTACCTCAGGGACTAAAATGTAAACAAAATTCATTAAATTGGAAGTTTAAAGGATACAGAAACAATCTACAAATACCAATGTGAAATTGAAATATATTTAGTTCCCTTATGTCCTAGATGTTCCTGCTACTGATTTGCATGACAGCTTTTTTTAAAATTAGTGTTGAAGACCTGACCTGAAATAGGACACCACATTAGTGTATTTTGTGACTAAGTCCAGAGGGTAAGGAGATCAGCATTCCAGATTTAAAGTCGGTTATTCCTGCTTCTCTGTGTTAACGCAAGAGGATGTTCATTTCAGAAAATAAAAGGGCTTTCTATAGCTTTAGTAGAGATCTAAATCTTTCAGTATTAAAGTGCTAAACCTATCAAGGATTTGGCACTAAGATCTGGCACTCTGTGAAATGAAAATACTTATGATAGATTTAAGTATTCCAACAACATACTTCCACAGTAACTAGATGAATTTTAAATGTGCTGACAGCAATGCACAGTGGCAAGTTAAGTCTAGAGTTAGAGTGTTGATTGCTCCAGTTCAGCAGTAGCTGAAATCCCTAGCTCCTGTGGCAGAATTATGAAAAGCAAAAGCTGAATGCTCAAATAAAATGGACACTCGGTTTATAACCAAGTATCAGCATAACGTGGATAATGTAACATCTGGAGTAAAACTGCCGACTTACCAGATGTTCTCATTATTACTAATTGCACTGCTTTTCAAAAGTACTGATCATCAGTCCTTCATTGCACAGAAGTGACATGAGCAGGCATAATTAAGCACACACAGTATAAAAAACATAAGAGGTCTGGACACAACATGCACCATATCTAAAATTCAGGGGGAGGCATGCCCAAAAATTGATTTTTTTGAGGGATATTCCAATACAGTGCATGTGGTGTGACAGTAAGCAGCACTGGCAGTGGCAGACATGGGAACATGCATCAGAAATGTTCTGAATGATGGAAAAACTCAGATTGTAGCGTGCTCAGTGAGTATCACTAGCCAGCAGTGCGCTATTACTGTAAAACTGATAAACTCAGTGCCGGTCTTAAAGCACAGGTCACCAAATAAGAATTATAAGAGAAGTCAGACTAGATATTTTTCTTGGGTTTTGCCTTTGCCACAGTGATTGTTACTTTAAAGCTTAGAACCCTAAAACTAGCTCTGTGGCCAAGTGAGAGTACAGCTGGCCTGCAGGATAACTTGGCTAAGGGGATTCTAGGACATTATGCAAGGTACTGAGCACCCCAGGTGTTTATGTTGGGATGACTCTAGAAAACCCCACTACCATCATTTGAAAACGGTACCATGCGTTACTGACACAGCCAGCTGTACCACCTAAACAGTAAAGTTTTTTTTAATGCAAGATGAAAAGACATTTCATTGCTCTCAAAAAGAAGAATTCAGACAGGCAGAAGGACAGACTGCAGAAAAGCATCACGTGATCCCATGACAACTGGTTAAGGCCTCGAAGGGATTTGTCTCTCAAGATGCCCTGGCATTAAGTGGAGGAACTGGTTCAGTGACTCAGGGGGAAGAGCCAGCACCTACTGTTTCACCAACACCCATTCCTGGAGCACTTCAAGCTGTGGTCCAATATTTCAGATAGTGATTAGAACTGTTTGTCTTCTGCATGGGAACACTGCATTTGAAATTCTTGCCTGTTCTCAAAGAAGAATTTTTCTGACATGGTGATGTTTGTTCATGAGGAATGATCCACATGAGGCAGGAAGAAGGATTTACTAGAAAATAAGGAGTTATTTGAAGCCACAGAGAAGGAAAGGAGGAAGAGACGATTTAAGATAATGTTTCACTGGAACCATTTGTTTTTACCTGAGTTTTTCACGGGGAAATCGGTCTTCCTTTGCACTGTTGAAGGCAGCTCATTTATTCGTAAAGACAACTGGCGTTTAAAAGGAGACATCTTTTGGCTAAGGGCAGGGAAGCCCCTGAAAGACCCTTGCCTGGCAAGCTGTTCTATAGGGGCATGCCTCCGTGGAATAGCGTGGGGATTGCTCATTTCTTTATCCAGAGAGGCAGCAACTTCAGCAGTAGGAGAGGTTGGTGAGCCAGAAGAGGGGGCAGTATTGTTTGGTGCAGCACCTGGTGCTACTGTTTTCACTTCTGTTTCAACTGCTGGAGGAAATAGGGTGAGGTTAGAAGAGTAAAGCAAAGTAGCGTTCAACTGCCTGCCCCTATTCCCATTTGTTTTGAAAAGAGAAATTGTAGGAATCTGCATAACTAGTACTCTTCCAAACGAGTTTCTAATACCACAGCAGAAAAATAATTTCTGTATAGCTTCATTGTCTTCACTACGTCACTTTACATACATCCAGCCTCCAAAGCAAAGTGTACTAAGGCTAGCCATTTCATAGAAATGTTGGCCTGATATATGTATTCTTTCTAGCTATTCCTGAGACCCCAGCTCTAGAAATACTTGCAATTCATTTATGATTAAGACTGAGAAAGTGTGTTGCGTGTTTGAGACCTTTACTTTGCCTCACACAGAACTACGGCCAAAATATTACTACAAACTGTATTAAGTGACTTAGGGTGGCATAGCTCAGCAGCAGCAGGGAACAGAACCCAGCTCTAGGACTTTCTTTTAACAGCCACCCTTCTAGACCTGCAGAATCGGCAGCAGTAGCCAAACACACTGCACAAGCTTCAGCAGGCCAAAGGTAGCAGGAGCATTTAACAGGTTAGGCTGCATTCAGTGCTCAGGCTGCAGCTCCCCAGCTCCTCCTGGAAATACATTAGAGAGAGATGGGAGTGTGCTGCAAGGCAGATCCAGCCTCCAAGCCGACAGGCCTTGCTAACGCCCGGCACGTTGACAGTGAATTCCTGTGTCACTTCTTTAACTGAATGTAGCCGTAATGTTACCACCCAATCACTAGTTAGTTGCACTGGAAGCTCCTCCAACTTAAAGTCAGCTGCTTCATTGTGCAGGATTTTGCATAGCACCACAATGCTTCTGTCAACCAGGCCTAATGGTAGAAATATAGGATTAAGCCTAGTTTAAATCATGACACTTATGATTAGAATAGCAATGGGGATTTTTTCATCTCTAGGAAAACTCTCTCTCTCACGTGATCAGTGAATTGGCTTTGGGGGCAATAAACACAGCTCATCAACACAGCAGGAGAACGGGAAATCTCACTATCCTGGTGTGAATATTTTACCTATATTGCTTTCAAAATATTTTAGGAAAAACAATGACTTTTTTGTTGACACATCAACAGCATAACTAGAAGGCTGGTAGAGAGAGGAGTCACACTAGAGATTTCTGAGGAGCTGGAATGGTAGGAGGAACTAATTATGTTGTCTTGCAAGCTTCAGTACCCATGAGTTGCAGCTGCTCGTTCAAGTGAAACTTTTCTAATCAGTCTTTCTTGGAAAGGATTTCACACACCTTCATTGAGTCAAGACTTTGACTCATGCCCTCAAGTAACAAAGGCCTTGTGTTTAAGCTTCATTGAGCACATTCTAAAACTAACGTATGGGAACAAGCAGATGGATGATGAAAACTAAGATTAAAGTTTTGCAATCAAGTTGCAGCATAAAACTTGCTGTGGAACCCTCTGAAACAAAAGTTCAGCTCCACTGTAAAGGCGGCTATGAACAATATTTATAATACTTTTTTGTTGTTGTTAGCTGTAGAACTCCACTACTTGTAATAAAACCCAAGTAAGTTGTTCTACTTTCACTTGAATTTCAGAACACTTTAAATGGCCTTTTAAATGGCTAAAAAGTAAAAACTAAAACCCAACTCCTCTCAAATCAGTTAGCTACTAGTTTTTAATGTAATTAGCAGTGCAACGGTTGTGATTTATGAGGAGGGGGTTGTCCTTTCGGTTTTGGGTTTTTTTGGTTTTGTTTTGTTTTGTTTTTTAGAAAGCATGCTGTGATTGATCTGTTCTTCCCTCATGCAACATAACTCTATACATACACTTTGTAACCTGCCTTAAAAATAAAGATACATTATTTTCTAAGAAAAACGCATATTATTTTCTGTTCATTTACCATAAGCTTTAGACAACAAAAAGGACTACTTCATGTCTGGCAAATCTGTTCTATTTTTATAACATTTTTCTAACAAGGCCTTTTAGTATGGTACCTATGGTGTTCTTTGCCATAAAGCAGGCTGACAAAACAAAGCAGGAGCAGCTTTCACATATGAAGCCACTTGTACTTTTTCTAGAGAAGATGCAGGAAGATGTGTTACGAGCAAATCTGGGAGCACTTTTCATCTTGTGAAGTGACAAGTGTCTGGGAATATGATTTGTACATAATAAGGTTCAAGAGAGGGAATGGTGCAGGGACGTTAAGCCTCAATCCTTGCACAGGCTCCAATTCACCTCAGTGCTGCTTTTGCTCGTTGTGGATGATTGTTTAAAGTTGCAGCCCGTACCTTTAGCATCCGGCATCTGTCTCATAATTTCCTCTCTCTCCGCTTGTTCAGTAGCTGTAGTGACCCTGAATGACCCCTCTCTAGTGAATGTGGTTCTGCTGGCATCAAAGGTGGCAGTCACTCCACACTCCTTCTCTCGCTTCTGCTTTCGCTCCAGGCATGCTGCAAATGCACAGCCCACGGCATGACTCAACCTTTCCCCCTGCACAAGACAACATTGCATCATACAGTAACTGGAACAGAAACATACATGTGCTTCAAGCATCGCAAAGTGATAACCTGCCTTTACAAGAGGAATCTAATTAAGGTATTAAAGAGAACTACTGTAACTGGCCACCTTTTGTATGGCTCTAAAATTAAACCTGGTATATAAAGACTCCCAACTACTAATGCACAAGCTGCCTTCAAGAAGGCCACCCAGAAATGAAAGAGATTGTTGGATAATCTGTTTAGTTCAACTGCTGCTAAGATGCTAGTGCGATAACGTGCCTGTGCTGATCCCTTGCCTCTGGATACATTTGTGCACAAAGAAACTCTTGTGAAGCCATCTGAAGCAGGTGTAAGTCCTGAGGGACAGGTAAGTGCTATTCTCAGACGGAGAAAGTTTACAGAGGGCTCAGGGAGACACTACCATTGTATGCAAGCGTGAAAATTAAGTACAATGGTGACTACTTACACCTCTTAATGGCCCCAACCAAAAGCACAAGTTAGTATTAAGAGTGCCTTCTGAAAAGCACTTCCGTTATTAACCAGTGAGGTCAAAAGGATCCACTATCCAATAACTGCGATAAGGAAGGGAAATCCAAGCCAGAGGAAGCCCAACAGTCCAGCTGATATGGCGGGGGGGGGCGGGGCCGGGGGCCCCACTGCAGCCGAGTCAGAGGCCCTATTACTACCAGTAGCTCAACTCATCTGTTATAATCAGTAAGTGAATTGACCTGTTATTCACAGAGGAAAATAGAAATGCTTCAGCTCTAACATAAGTTTAACTGGGAATTTCTAACTTTATTGTTTCTCTTTGAGGAAAAATGATAAATTGTCAAGTACAATTGCTTGTACATGCAGCTATGTGGAGCTCACGCAATGAATTTACATGAGGTTTCAAGCGCTTTGTATAATATAGGCAGGATTCAACAAAAAGCAGAAAGAGGAAAAAGCCAGATCAGGGAGTTAAATAACTTAAGTCTACACAGCAAGAAACTGATAGAGGTAACTTACTTTCAAACCTTCTACTGGAAAAATCTCCATCAGTTAGAAGCAAACAGGATGCTAATTTAATTCAGTTTAGCTCCATCCCTTAACATTCAGATGACTTTCCATTCACGATAACATTCGCATACAAGAGGCTGCATTCGTGACCAGTCTGTATTTACTCACTATGACTTTATCCTAGAAAAAACTGTCATTGCTGTTTTGGTTTTTGGCTGTGTACATTTGTAGATGAGAATATCTTCTGTCTATTTTTAGAAGAGTAGCTCCCTTCTGCTAGAGATATCTGAGGCTGACTGCATTCCTTTTATACACATACTGGGCACCGTTTCTCTCCACAAGATGACACCACAGAGGGACGGCAAATAATTCAGATATAAAGAATTAGAACTAAAATAATTTTCAAGGACTAAGTACTATTTTAGCTGAAGTCAAAACACATTGCAGTATTCTAGGTAGTTAATTTTTCTGAGCATAACTTCCAGCTAGAAGCTGGAAGAGTTGGACACACACCATATTAAACTTACCGTGTCCTTTACAGCCATAAAGCAGTGGCATATCCAGCGTCTCGTCGTGCCATCTCGACAGATGTATGAGAACGCCCGGTCAAAGTTCCTGTCTGGTGCGCAGAAAGAAACCTTCTCTATTGTCTGATCAACTATAAGATCCTAGAGGGAAAAAAATCCCCCCCACAATAAAAGAAATGTGAGGAAATATGGAGAAACACTTGAACAAGTCATTTTCAGTGTTAACTGCAAGAAGAGGAGTGATACTAAAAAGAAGATAACCTGATGTGGCTACAATTCTGTCAATGAATCCACCATTCAGAATCTATTCCCAGTATGAAACAAAAAGGACAGATGACATTTTCCACCAGCCACCTTTGGCAGAAGTGTGCCAAGGCACCGTTTAAGAATTTAGGGACCCAAACAATTCCTAAGATTTCTCCTCTAGACTACGGAGCTCACATTTCTGTTTTATTTTATTTTTACAACAGCTCCGGTAGTCTTGCAATCAAAAAATCTTTAGTGTTATTAAAATACAATGCTGAAACTTATGAGAGAGGTCTGCAAGTGTGAAAAGGTCCAGCAGCTGCTACATGAAAAGCAAAAGCCAATCTGCCAATTAGCTAAGCAGGGATGCAATGGAAAAGCACCAGCAGCACTGGTAGTTTCAAACACCCCTGATTTGTTCCCACAGATTGATGGGAGAAGTGTTTCATGGGAGAAGTGTTTCTAAAAAGGAGATAGTATAGTTTAAGAACTATGCCATCTTCATAAAAAAAACCTTTTTTCAACATTTTTTTTCCAAAATTGTTTCTTTCGGTTGGTGGTTAGTACTTGGCACCTGTGCTAATGTATTCAACCACCAGGAGGCAACAGTATATTCTCTTTTTAAGTCCTATACTTTTAATCACCTCCAGGGTCTGCACAACTTATTAAAATTCAATTTTAAAAGACTAGGTATATGCAGTTACATTTCTAAAAATAATACGTGTATTATTATTTTTAAATGAGGCAATCAGTAGACTGAATTCACCTCCATCATTATGTTTGTATTAGAAACTGAATTCTTATGAGACAGTAACTTTAGTGCTGATGAACCATACCATAACAGCAGCCCTGGAGAAGTCTAGCCACAGAGCAGGTATTTGACAGGCAGTCATACTGCAGAGAGATATCAATTATCTCTACCTGCTTCTCAGTGTTGTCTTGCAGAAATCATCTTCTGGTTGAGACTAAAATTTTTCCGATAGCCATGCCATCTTTTAAAATACTAGTATGCTTATAGAGGCAAGCCTAAAGCTTTTATGTCTAATTGCCTACATCTAGATAAAACCAAGCTGTTACTTGCACACAGGCGCCTTGGTGGTACATACTGTGCTATTTCACAATTAAAAAAAAAAATAAAATAAAACAAGCTACATTAGTCTTCCATTTCAGACCAACAGCTTAGAATTAGAAATTATTGAATTTGATACTCAGTTACTATTTAGCTTGAGTCTGAATGCACAACCCCCCTATTTCATTTATTCTCTTCATTGCATTTTTAGAAGCTAGCTCTTGTTCATTCCGACCCATTCTAGGATTTGGATGCACTGAAAAATATTATTGATTAACATGACTTTGCTCATGTATTACTATAGCAGCCTTCTGCAGTCGTGCAGAACAAAGTCAAGGGACTCTGCAAGTTCACTGTCAACAGAACTTAATCAGGAAAAAAATCATTCTTCTGGTAAATGCAACAAAAGAAAATCCAAGCTTGTGCTACCTGACTAATTATACATTTCAGTCTTCCTTTCAAATACCAACATTTGCATTAAGATTGATGTCCATTTAAAGTTATAGCACATACGTTATTATAGAGAGATTTAAAATTTTTGTCCAGGGAAATCTAACCTTTGTTTTCTCATCTACAACTCTGAGTCCATCCGCCGAAACCCACAGGACTGCTTTAACGGCTTTCTTCCCAGACTTTCAAAGAAAAAAAAAAAAGAAAAAAAAAAAAGAAAGAAAAGAACCAGTTTTATGCCAACAGCATCAGACTGCCACCCGCTTCCCCTTTCCAAGAACCGTAACGTTAAGTGTAGATGAAGTCCACGGTCAGTAGGGTGCCCAAAGCCAGATATTCAATCCAAGTTGCAAAACATTCAGAGAACCAAGCCAAAGCCAGTATTTCCGAAACAGCACGTTGTGGGGATGGGGAGAGGGCACAGGACAGGTGGAGGCAAAAATAGGGTGTACGCCCACTGACAGTAAAGAATTCAAGACTGACCAAGTGGGTGAAGAATTCCACTAAAGAGTCAGAAAACACTAATTCATAAGGAGTTACACCACAGGTAGCTTCTTTAGCACAAGTTTAAACATAGGAAAAATCTTACCTGATATTTCCACCAGCCCCACCCTCTGCCCCAATAGTCGCATGGCAGAATCATGGCATCACCTTAAACCAGTGTTAAAAGCACCCAAAAATCATCAGTTACTGTGTTATGAGCTTAATGCTAAGATCAATCATCCAAACATGTTTCACTAATTTATTAAAAGCTAAATGTCACATGTCAGAAGAGGAGTAAAAAAAAAATATGATTTCTTAACCATTTGGTGTGTATCTTGACAAAGCAATGGTGTGTGGCAGGCTGACACAGCGGTGGAGCGGTCTGGCTTTTATCCAAGATCTGACTGTGGGAACTTTCAGCAGCTGCAAGCTGAGGGTAAGTAAAAGTGGGAAACACAGGAAGGCTTCAGAAGCCATTTAAACTACAGAATCTTTCTAGACTGTTTACTTTTTAAGGGAAAGTTACAGAAAACAGTATAAACACTTAACACAATATTCTTCTGAAACTAATTCACTGAACAGAAAATAGGTACGTCAAGATAATTTTACTGGTTGTTACAGAGAAGTACTACTAGAAAAATAATATTTATTTTTTCTTAAATATGTTACTTTAATTCACAAGCGCTATACTTTAAGCCAGCTAATAAACTATTCTCCCTATAACTTTTTTTGAAGCACTGGCTTTACATAGTTTGCGGCTGCTAATGGCACCCACCACAGACCACTGCAGGGATTGAAGAGAGCAACAACAACAAAAAAAAAGATGAGGGGGTATCAGCTACTGGCTTAATGCAAGAATTGAAAAAATTTTTTTAATAGTTCATTGCAGATGTATATAACTTATATTTATACGGCAAGTAATGGAGCAAGGACACATTTTGGCATAAGCTACCACATGTTCCAAGTCTGCAACACTGATTTTAACACTGTAAGGATGAAATATCTTGGAGTGAAAAGTCTCCTGTTAGATCACATTGGTTTAATTCTCAGAGAAAGCAGCAAGTCTGAAGAAAACAGACCTGGCAGGACTTCTGTTTGGCTTTAGGGAGGAACTATCTGTCCCAATTTCAGAAGCAGCAATGACAACCCAAGCATTTTCAAAAAGCTTGGTGAGAACAGAGAATGGCACTGACTTGTACAGAAGAGTGATTAAAAGAGAAAAGAGAGGAAAATAAGCACAGCATGAAAAGCAAGCTACGGAGAAGTGCTTGCAGAAGCAAGTTTCTAAACGTCCATCCAGCCTGCTGGATACCCCAGAGAAGGTTTAAAGTAAAACTGCCAGATTTTGGAATGCCTAATGGAAAGAGTATAATGTACTTAAATTTACTATCATAGTGTTAAAAAAAAAAAATATTGCAGCATTTAAAAGTCACTTCTAATATTTGGTCTTAAAAGGCAGTAAATATTGATACCCACAAAATATAGTCTATATTTGCAATGCTCAGCTAGCTTCCATAGCCTAAGAGTCCCTATTAATCCCCAAACCAAATGGTTTGTAGAGGTCTGTCTCCTTGAACTGTTTTAAGAAGGAGTACCCTTTTCTTATGAGCCGTTAATAGTCTTAAAATCTTTATTTCAAGCAAATGTGAATAATCAAGAGAAGACAATGCCTGAAGGTAAGGGTTTGGTTTAGATTACCATCATTAGAAACTGAGATACATGTCTTTCCCCAGCAAACAATAAAACCCTTGTTTCTGCAGAAGTAGCACACAGTTCCTGAAGTTTGTATTTAAAAAGTCAAGTTTAATTGAGCTGGGTACTTCATAAAGCAGTACTGATCTTCAGCAGAGCTACTCCTCACTTGCTATTTTACTCAATGAGGATTTAGAAATAGCTAGGACACGGAACTTCATGTTTCTCAGAATAAAATGAAAAGCCTAAAGGGCTGTCTAAGTCCTCCTCTCCCACTGGAAACATAAGGTTCCTCATGCAAGATAACCAAACATGGGTTTGCTACGCTAAGAGAAGAAAAACCACACTTTTATCTCCCAGTTCCTTCTTCTAGATTTATGGTGGATGCAGCACGTAGAAGGGGTAAGTCCTTACAGTCTGTATCCCAAACCCAAAGCTACTACTGTTGGGCAACATGATTTTCCCATCTACTGAATCCTCAGCTTATCTGGGCCTACAAGTAATGTATAAAGGAACATACTTCTCCAAATCAATTTATATTGGCTATACAAATCAAAGTACTACTCTATTATGGGTGGGATATTGCCAAATGTATCGTGATTAGAAAGTAGATATGAGCGTTTGCATTCCTGGCACACACTGGACAAAGATCAGACCAGATGCAAGATACTGCGTGGGAAGTGAACTCCAACACAGAATTGCACCCTGTGTAATAAACACTGAAAGGTACAGGTGACTCCAAACAAAAGTATTTAAAGCAAACGGCCAATACCCACTGGAACAGTGTGGTCTTAAATGCTGCTACCAAGGGACTCATCTAGACATCCATATCAGCAGCTTGTCTTCATATTCAAGAGCTTCTGGATGACAGCACTGCTGGAGAAGAGCCACACGTGGCACTGACTCCCAGGAGCCTGATTTGTCAGTGCTGAGTCAGCCCTGATAGAAACCTCGCCGCTCAACACTTCTTAGGAGGTCAGTAATCTGCTCCAATACAAGATTCGTTATCTGGACTAATTTCAGAGTCCTCAGAGGTCTCCAGGAGGGAGGGTGACACGTTCGTCCTAACAGATGATGAGGCCCGAAGACAAAGCAGGATCACTGCAGGCTGGGCACAAGGGAAACCTCTCCAACAGATTTGGGCATCCACCAAAAAAAAAAACCAAAAAAAAAAAAGTGGACTATGTCTTAAATGCACATTTCCTGATGAGCAGTGCTGGTCATGACAATTTAACTGTTAGAAGTGATAGGAATATGGAGATAAGTAGCAGCTATGTTGTAAGCTGGAAAATAAAGTTTTAAGGATACCAGAGCAGAATTCAAGTTGCCCCATAATGCATTTTTTAAATATTTCTAAATCGTTTCTAGTCTTTCTGCCTATTTTATTCTGTCCTGGCACTTACAAACAGCTGTAAGATATATCTGGAGCCTGAGGTATATAAAAAAAGAAATTTTTTCATTTCAGACTCCGTATAAAACATTGCATGATGAGAGATACACGCACTCAGTGGAAGCAAAACATGAGAAAGATCACTGAATCTGTACAACTATTTATTACAACAGAAAAGCTTTAGTTCTAAAATACAAAGAGCTGCCCCAAAAGGCAGTTGATTCGGTTATGTTGTGTATGCTACACAAAATAAAACTGTAGAAGCCTAACCTGGCGCTATCACCAGACACTCATTTTTATTTAAAGCTGAAAAGAGAGTATTTTTCAATACTAAACACTTGAACATTTCTGGACACAAATCCATCAGATTTACCTTTTAGGGGGAGAAAATATGGACAGGGAAAGAAGCAAACCTGTCTAGATTGACTTTTTAAAAGCTGGTAGGGCGTTTTAAGCAGCTCTGCAGTTTGGAATATTATATTAATCCCAATGCAAGGTATCTGCAGAGAATTTATAGACGAGACAGCCAAAAGATATTGAAGTTATTAGTATTTCTCAAATATTAATAAGAGAACAGCTGTCCCTTTTTTTGCAGTTTTCCCCCTAGATTTGGCCTACTGTTGCAGGCCAAAGCTGTAATAAAGGCACTGCCATATTGACACTGTGGGGATATCTAAACACTATGGATTTAAGTGGTTTCAGTGCTAACTAATGAACCTTCACAGGCTGAAGTAGAAGTAGATCCCTCTTTGGCAAAATATTATAATAAAAGGCAAAGCAAGTCTACAAGGCTGTGGCAAAGTACTGGACTTCATAAAAAAGCCACCAAGTTGTAATAGGGAAGCTGGCATATTTAATAGATAACTAAAAAAGTCAGAGATTTAAGTGCTATGCAAAGCTCTGTCCTTTTACATCTTTACTTTCTTATGTATCCTAACATAAGTTAATATCAGCAAGCAGAAAGAAATCTAACATATCTGATCAGGTTGAGGTGTGTGGGGGTTCTGTTTGTTTTAAACAAATTGTAAGCAGTAGTTTCGATTGTAAAGCAAACAGCATGTTTTCACTCCAGTCTTTGTAGATTCCAGCTCTTAAATTTTGTTAGCACGTAGAAGTGATCTGATTAATCTGACAGATCTCCTACCTATGGTATTTTGGGCCTTGACTATCACTACACTTTAGATGTGTGCTTTCCCAGATCATAGGAAGAAATCTGAATTGGGGAAACAGCTGTTCCTCTGTGACATGCATCGCTATCTGAGCAAAAGGTGAAAAAGGAGCAGCTGGAAAAAAAAAAAAAGCTTTATTTACTCCCTAAGCAAAGCCAAAACAAATTTGTTACCAGAGAATAATCTGCTCCAACCTATTTTTGTATGTATGGAAGTTACAAACCTGTTACTTTCTATTTGAGCCAAGATTCACTTTATAACAAGATACTTCAGAAGCCATATCTTAGATTAACTCCATATGAAAACTAAATTAAAATGTTTTTCAGGAATTTTAAACGCAGAGGTATGGAAGAGATGAGAGGTAAAAGAGAGAGAGCTCTTTCAGAGGTCTACAGGCACTGCTTTGCAGAGGTGTAGACAGCAG